TAAAAACTTAAGTTTGTTTCGAGAAATCGGGGCCAGGTGTTCATGAAAATGGTAAGTATGCCCTCTGTACCAGCTGCATCCACCACTCACAGAATTTGCTCGAAGAAGTATGTGTCACCGTACAGCAACAATCGTGACATGCGAGGGTGGCATGTAAAAAAAGAGGCATGAGTGGCATTGCAAGGTTAAATCGTTCAATGTAAGCGACAAAACCCTTTCTAAAATCAGCAGTGTACCTTGTACGATTCCGAAACTATCAAAAGCATATCTTTATGAATCACTTATGATACCAAGTGTTAGCGAAAAGGTGAGCGTATCCTGCACCACCTGTGGCACACGTCACAGACACACGCAAAGGCTAATCAGTTGTTCACCTGAACAAGCACGGTAACATTTGGTAAAAGTCAAATAGGACTTGCATCTGGTATCAGTTTGGTCACTGATGGGCAAATTTGGTCTAACAAAGGCCTTGAAATGTTGAACACTCATCAAACATCTTTTGGTCCATTGCATCAGCAACCCAATATTGCCGTAAAAGGCGACGATGCTTGTCGTGATTAACTGGATTGTCTGGTCCAGACTGGATTACTTACAGAACGCCGTCATATAGCTGAAATATGGTTGAGTGCGACCTTAAACAAGAAACAAACAAGCACAAGCCTGTGATTGAATCACTATCGCGAGAAAGGTGAGTGGCATATAACAAATATTGGCAAAATTAATAATATTTTTACTTCAATGCCATATTAGTAATATCTCGCGACAGTGTCTTATTTTATACACGAGATTGTGCATTTACGTTGTCACGAACTATCAAATTACTCCTATTCTTCATAAGAAACACACTATGATTACGTACTGAAATATTCATCACGATCACATGATGATCACGACACAGGAATATTTGGTATCAGAAACACAAGACCCTATTGCGTAACAGCCAGCAGATTACATACTCATTGGGTGGACTTTAGACTTTTGAATCGTCATAAACGAACGCTCTGACAAAGTTCAATTCAAATACTAACACAGTCCTTAGTTTCGAAATTTAACATCGTTTTCTTTGGTAGTTTCAATTTTGACATCAATACTGATATATGTTAGTTACTTTCTTACATCATGTGTATTTGGAAATATTCCGTACATGAGTTTCAAGAATTAGCCCTTAGCCACGACCTGCGTTGTCTACGAATTGACATCGAGCGACTGTCGATTTCACTTCTTCCTCAATGTGATTGGATTTAATATTAACATAACGAGGTTATCATATATGACGCATTTTCAAGATCAGTGTACGTTCCATGTCATCAACGAGCGCAATGCCTTGTGTATAATATATATGAAACTGTAGAAATTGCTATCAACATATCCAACCAAGATACAGACAGAGACTATAATCGGCTCAGCCCTCCGTACCACGCCATCTCTGTCGAAACCGGTTTACTCTCACTTTGCCAGCAGGCTGGGGAGATTAACTTGTACGGTTCAGTGACTTGCCAGCTATAGCCTGTTCTGATTATCTGAGCTCCTTGATGACTTAGCTGTGACCCACTGTGAGCCAAACTGAAGTAATCAAGTGAACTGTGTTCAGCTTAGCAGATATGGCTAAATTATTTGATGTGAACATAAATCACTGATTACTATGCTTTTCCAAACAGACAAATTGAGTGAGTTTAAAATAACGGGTATATACACTGTATATATATGGAGGTGCCATTTGTCGGACTTTGAGTTTGCTGTAGCAAGACATAAATTTTGCAAGCTATATTGTATTAGATTGTCTTGAAAATTTGTACATCTGAACATAAATGGAATTTTTAATTAATAATTAATAAAAACCTATACTACTACATATATTTTTTGTGTTATATCTACCAAGACAGGACGTAATCTGGCTACCGTCAGTCGGTGAAAGTGAAACAGTCTATAGTGTTAATCCCCATTGTTGTGGGGATTATCACGGGCTCCTGACTTTTAAACTAGAACAATAGCTGCTGGTAAAGAGAGAACACCCCTCGAAACCGTCCTCCCCAAAACTGACTGCCCCACTCAGTCACACAATGACACCACAATCTAATAGAATCTATATATATACACAATATAGGATGAAAGGAACCCCACGATACCAACAAACCCCGAGCGTCCAAAGAAACCGGACGTAACAGCGTGTGGAATGCAAAGGGAGATAACTCCGAGCATGCCGAACGTGTAGGTCATTAGAAAATACAGACCGCCGTCATATAGCTTGAATATTGCTGAGTGCGGCAAAACAACAAACAAACAAAACCAAATGTATGAGTGACTACATTCGTCGTGAGAGCTTTCATGGCTTCGGTCCTGCCCCAAAGCTGAAACACAGGTTATGACAACTCACATGTCTTCCCAGGCAAGTGACCGATTCCGTGGTCTAGTGGATAGAACGTCTGCCCGGAGAGCAGGTGGGTGGTTCGATCCCCAGCCGCGTCATACCAAAAGACGAAATATAAGGTTCTGTTACCCTGCCTGGCGCTCGGCACTGAGGGAATGAACAAGGACTGGCTTGCTCGGATTCAGTGTAATGTGTCTGAGTTGGGTTGCAATGTTAAACTGCACATGCTATCTCTGGGCTAACACTTACAAACAATAGCCCCACATTAGTCCGGACTAGCATCCTCACACACTAGTGTAGCAGGTCGATATATAAGTGCAATATTCTTGAACGCGACGTTAAATCCCATTTCACTTCACCTAAGGCAAGTGCATCTATCTATAGTTCAATCAATCCATCAATCCACAATGGGCATTAAAAGATAGGATGCAAGTCACTCAGATGTAATTGACTTGTATCGCATCTTCAGTCACGATGTAATTCACTTACCTTAGTGGTTATACATAAGGGAGCTCGCATCATGGTAAATAGATGTCAGCTTTACAATAGCTAGGCAACTGTTCTTGGCAATGGTAAATACAAAACCTGAAGACAAAACAATTCTTGATTTGGATTTTACCGATGTAAAATATTTTATTCGTCGTTGTATTTCCTTTTGGAGAAGTCATATAAAGCGTTGATAACGTGTACTTGTTCCCTTCAAATTGAATAAAATATGTTAAAACCGAACTTAGGTCGGCCGCCCTCTGATAGAAGATGTGATGTAATAACTCGCCGCGATTATGCGAAATTGTGATCTATAATTATTCTTTCAAAATGATTTGCCAAGCGGCTTTGGAAATGTAATACGTCAACGCCAGAGAAAATTCATTTTTCGACCATCTGTCAAAAAAGATGCCATTCGGCATAAAAGGCAAAATAAATGTGAACATCATATTAATGAATAGCTGAAATCAAGAACTGTGTACGCAATGAAATGTCACGATTTCACAAAAACACGTAAGCGAACACGATATGATTTTGCAGTGCAGAAATACAGGAACAAACACTTCTTTCTATCATTATCATTCATCCTTCAATCTAGAAACGCACTTCAATGTGCCAGCATCTTCCAGAGGCAAGAGAGTTAACTGACTATAAAAGTCCAGTTTCCACATCTTCCCGAGGCAAGAGAGTTAACTGACTATAAAAGTCCAGTTTCTACATCTTCCAAAGGCAAGAGAGTTAACTGACCATAAAAGTCCAGTTTTAAAGTCAGTTAACTCTCTTGCCCCGGGAAGATGATGTACCAGCGGCACACATCAACACAGCCCCAACCACAATCACAGCCGCTGTCCCGGTGTAACTCAAAACCATGCTCATGGTCCAATATAACTGACAGTCACAGTCATGGTCTAATATAACTGACAGTCACAGTCATGGTCCAATATAACTGACAGTCACAGTCATGGTCCAATATAACTGACAGTCACAGTCATGGTCCAATATAAATGACAGTCACAGTCATGGTCTTATATAAATGACAGTCACAGTCATGGTCCAATTTAACTGACAGTCACAAACATGGTCTAATATAACTGACAGTCACAGTCTTGGTCCAATATAAATGACAGTCACAGTCATGGTCCAATATAACTGACAGTTACAGTGATGGTCTTATATAAATGACAGTCACAGTCATGGTCCAATATAACTGACAGTCACAGTGATGGTCTTATATAACTGACAGTCACAGTGATCGTCTTATATAACTGACAGTCACAGTGATGGTCTTATATAACTGACAGTCACAGTCATGGTCTTATATAACTGACAGTCACAGTCTTAGTCTGAGATAACTGACAATCACAGTGATGGTCTAATATAAATGACAGCCACAATCATGGTCCAATATAACTGACAGTCACAGTCATGGTCCAATATAATTGACAGTCAGTCATGGTCTAATATTACTGACAGTCACAGTCATGGTCCAATATAACTGACAGTCATAGTCAAGGTCCAATATAACTGACAGTCACAGTCATGGTCTAATATAACTGACAGTCACAGTCATGGTCCAATATAACTGACAGTCATAGTCAAGGTCCAATATAACTGACAGTCATAGTCATGGTCCAATATAACTGACAGTCACAGTCATGGTCTTATATAACTGACAGTCACAGTCTTGGTCCAATATAATTGACAGTCACAGTCATGGTCTAATATAACTGACAGTCACAGTCATGGTCCAATATAACTGACAGTCACAGTCATGGTCCAATATAACTGACAGTCACAGTCATGGTCTAATATAATTGACAGCCACAGTCATGGTCCAATATAACTGACAGTCTCAGTCATGGTCCAGTATAACTGACAGTCACAGTCATGGTCCAATATAACTGACAGTCACAGTCATGGTCCAATATAATTGACAGTCACAGTCTTGGTCCAATATAATTGACAGTCACAGTCATGGTCTAATATAACTGACAGTCACAGTCATGGTCCAATATGACTGACAGTCACAGTCATGGTCTAATATAACTGACAGTCACAGTCATGGTCCAATATGACTGACAGTCACAGTCATGGTCTAATATAACTGACAGTCACAGTCATGGTCTGAGATGACTGGCAGTTAAAGTCATGGTGTGAGATAACTGATAGTCATACGCATGGTCTTACAGCCATAGTCACAGTCTATCTTACAGCCACAGTCACAGTCTATCTCACAGCCACTGGCACGGTCTAAAGCACAGCAACGGTCACAGTCTAAAGCACAGCAACGGTCACAGTCTAAAGCATAGCCACGGTCACAGTCTAAAGCACAGCAACGGTCACAGTCTATCTTACAGCCACAGTCACAGTCTATCTTACAGACACAGTCACAGTCTATCTCCCAGCCACTGGCAGGGTCTAAAGCATAGCCACGGTCACAGTCTAAAGCACAGCCACGGTCACAGTCTAAAGCACAGCAACAGTCACAGTCTATCTCAAAGCCACAGTCACAGTCTATCTTACAGCCACAGTCACAGTCTATCTCAAAGCAACTGTCACGGTCTAAAGCACAGCCACAGTCACAGTCTAAAGCACAGCCACAGTCACAGTCTAAAGCACAGCCAGTCACAGTCTATCTTACAGCCACAGTCACAGTCTATCTTACAGACACAGTCACAGTCTATCTTACAGACACAGTCACAGTCTAAAGCATAGCCACGGTCACAGTCTATCTTACAGACACAGTCACATTCTATCTTACAGCCACAGTCACAGTCTATCTTACAGACACAGTCACAGTCTATCTTACAGACACAGTCACAGTCTAAAGCACAGCCAGTCACATTCTATCTTACAGCCACAGTCACAGTCTATCTTACAGACACAGTCACAGTCTAAAGCACAGCCACAGTCACAGTCTATCTTACAGACACAGTCACAGTCTAAAGCACAGCCAGTCACATTCTATCTTACAGCCACAGTCACAGTCTATCTTACAGCCACAGTCACAGTCTATCTTACAGACACAGTCACAGTCTAAAGCACAGCCAGTCACATTCTACCTTACATCCACAGTCACATTCTATCTTACAGCCACAGTCACAGTCTATCTTACAGACACAGTCACAGTCTAAAGCATAGCCACGGTCACAGTCTATCTTACAGACACAGTCACAGGCTAAATCACAGCCAGTCACGTTCTATCTTACAGCCACAGTGACAGTCTATCTTACAGCCACAGTCACAGTCTATCTTACAGACACAGTCACAGTCTAAAGCATAGCCACGGTCACAGTCTATCTTACAGACACAGTCACAGGCTAAATCACAGCCAGTCACGTTCTATCTTACAGCCACAGTGACAGTCTATCTTACAGCCACAGTCACAGTCTATCTTACAGACACACTCACAGTCTAAAGCACAGCCAGTCACATTCTATCTTACAGCCACAGTCATAGTCTATCTTACAGACACAGTCACAGTCTAAAGCACAGCCACAGTCACAGTCTAAAGCACAGCCATAGTCACAGTCTATCTTACAGCCACAGTCACAGTCTATCTTACAGACACAGTCACAGTCTAAAGCACAGCCAGTCACATTCTATCTTACAGCCACAGTCACAGTCTATCTTACAGACACAGTCACAGTCTAAAGCACAGCCACAGTCACAGTCTAAAGCACAGCCATAGTCACAGTCTATCTTACAGCCACAGTCACAGTCTATCTTACAGACACAGTCACAGTCTAAAGCACAGCCAGTCACATTCTATCTTACAGCCACAGTCACATTCTATCTTACAGCCACAGTCACAGTCAGCTGCCATGACCGTGTTGACATAGCAGTGATAAACATCAGTCACTCTCGGACTATGCCTACAGCCAGTGAACTCGGGTAATGGTGTCGAGTTTACAAGAGATTTATAAATGCTGTACGATCAGTGAACAGAACGGTATAGAACAGAGGTTTATTCAAAGAAAAGAAGACTTGGGCTACAAGCCCTCGTATTACAATTCAGATGCATGGCGGGGGGAGTCAACACTAAATAAGTTTTTAATTTGACGTTTACACGATATGCGACTTTTCCATTTGACGAGAGGTCGGTTACATGACCGCGAAATTGACGTTCATAAGTGTGTATGAACGACACAATTTGACGTTCATACGTTTTTCACGAGACCGTGTTCTTGAAATGACGTAAACACTGACGGACTACTTCCAGATTCCTGGGGAAACCCCTGGGAATTCCCTAGCACGAAAACATACATAAACATTATTTCTGATCATTTAGAACCTTTAGTCTTGGTCTCAGCATTTCAGTATACATTGAGAAACGTAAGAGGGCTTGACTGCATGATTGTTCACGAATTTCCTCGCTACGGCCCATCCTAATGAACAAACGAAAAAATGCACATCCAAACTATCGTCAGTATCGACTCGATCTGTGTCTAAGCTGACAGTGATTGTCTCCAGCAATCTACGAATTTACCTTGGTGTCTGTTTGACGCATCTTTAATCACCTTTCAATAGTTGGTCAGTTGATCAATGATGACTAACACATGTAACCGCCACAGGTTCATTAACAACTTCGGAAATCCTCCCGTCACGTTTATCGTGTCTGCCATTTTGACGTCTTGTACTTGATTTAAATGTATTACGACGCGCTGTCATTGTGACTGACTTACTGAGGTAGTTCATTACAGACCTTTCTCATCTAATGGGGATATTATATGAACACATGTGTTGCGTAAGATGTTTCTGAAGAGCAAGTTCTGCATCCATACGCTCATGTCACCTTTCTTTTGGGGGAACTATTTTATTCCGCGATATAGCTGGTTGTTGTTTGGCTGTCAGTGTAAATATGAAGTCACACGTACTAAATAATAAAACTGTGTTTAGATCTTGGCCTACATCCTTTGAGGTAAGAAATTGTGATAAAAAATTATAAGAATTGACTTTCACTTTGTGTGAGTTCATTGGAGTGTGAACCTTCATAGAGTGAGGGCCAAACATTGTATGAACGTCGTCGCAAGCTCCGACGTTCATACAGTTTGGCCCTCACTCTGTGAAGGTTCATACTCCAATGAACTCACACAAAGTGAAGGTCAATTCTTAATTAATACATGCAGGATATGTTTTTGGATGTATGTGGTAAGATTCTTACTGTTACGTTCTAACAACTGTAGCATTTCAAATTCATTTGGATTTGTCAGTAATATTCAGTGAAACATTTAACTCTATATTTTGTTACCCTTTTGACACATTAATAAGAAAATTCTAAGTTAAATGATACGCATCCTCGATAACATCAATGTTAGACAACCTACACAAATCACAGTATCTAGAACTCGTTATGTCAATATGTCGTCTCATAAACGTGTCATTATGACCTTAGAGTTGTCCTTCATTGATAAACAATTGTTCCTTGGATTTGTGATAGACGGAAATGATAGTACTATTATACCTTCCATTCGGAACAGGTTTTAATATCCTGATCAACATAGCAAATACACTGCTTTGTCCACAGGGCAACTAACGGGATCGGGTGGTCAGGCTCACTGACTTGGTATCCCAGTTGCGTAGATCGATGCTCATGATGTCAATAAATGGATTGTCTGGTCCAGACCCGACTATTTATGGCTGGAATATTGCTGAGTGCTGCATTAAACAGCAAACAAACAGAACAACTATAATCGACCGACCACTTTAGATTCTCCGGAATATTAAACAGTTGAATTTAGATTTGATATATTAGTGTACAGGTTTCTAATAAATCATAGGATTACAATCACGTCGTCAAATAGTCTCAGTATATATATATATATTTGTTCTTACGGATATGGGTGCATGTATCGTAGAAGCTCTATATCTTGTTGATATTGATGAATATTGTAAGTCACCAAATTAATGCGAAAAATGCGCATGTCCCTTGTTCTCATTAACAAAGAGACATATTGGAGTATACTACCATGTCAGGTTCACTGCACATGGTTGTCGTTGCCTAAAGTGTTTGAGGTCGCCTTCTGCCTTAGCAATTGCTGCTGACCTGTCCCTCTTTGAAATTCATGACATTGTGTGTGAGTAGGGTAAACATATCCATTGCGAGTTTGGTATTCACAGAATTTCTGTTTTGGTATTGATATGATTTCTATTTTCGTATATTGATATGATTTCATTTTCATCTTTGGCTGCTCTGTTTATATACGTTCGAGTAGCTGTCCATCTCTCAGAAATAGAGTTGGTTTAGCCTTCGCTATTGCATCATTTGGCTTTTGGAGATGATAGCGGATCTAACTGCAATTCTTGTTTAAACCGAGCCCGGTTTGGGGCGTGGTCTTGACATTCCAGTGACAAGTGAGCAAAGGATTCTGGTTGATTGCAAGATGGACAAAGCTTGTCATAGTGCTTTTTGTGACGAGTCTGAGGCGAGTGATGGCAGTTTCAACTTCCATTTGATTTGAGTATGAGTATGGCTTTTGGTGGATCTTGGGTGCTGCACATAGCCGGATACAATGATTTATATACTAGTATAACAACGCTCCCAATAATCATTGGGATTGAGCGGTAGATTGAGATAGTGTGTCTTCCGCATCAAGTGTGGTTCATTCGCAGAACGTGCGAATTTGTCAAGCAGCTGGCCAGGGAATAATCCCTATTGTCTGGGGACCATCTCAAACACTGTAAGTGTACGACACAATCGCTTCATTTAGACAATACTTCTCATCAAGTTCTGCATCATGTGTGGGAGATTGTTTACTCTAGTTGATCAAGCAGTTACCACAATTTGCTCTTGGAAAGCATGTCAAGTTATGATTACAAGCAAACCACTGCTCACCCACGTTGAGAACATGTCCAGTACACCAATAACAGTCGTGGTGAATACGTACACACTGCTCATTTGCGTTTAGATATATAATGACAGCGCCAGAGAAGAACCAGCCGAATATACAAAACTATCGGACCAAGGGCAACAGGTGGAGCTGTGTTGGATCCCCTCTCACATAGATATTCATGGAAATGAAAAAGCAGACTCACTGGCGAAGCTAGCTCTAGACAAAGCGGATATACAGCCTATTCCCTTTAGTAAACTAGAGATAAAAAGCAAAATCAAAGCCTCCATAGCAAAAAGATGGCAAACCCAATGGGACGCAAGTAAGATCGGCAGATGGCTATACAAAATTCAACCCAAGGTCCAACAAAAGCCAAACTCATACTCAAATGAAAGGAAAATTGAAACTGCTATCTCACGCCTCAGACTTGGTCACAAAAAGCACTATGACAAGGTTTGTTCATCTTGCAATCAGGCTGAAACCATTGACCACCTGTTACTAGAATGTCAAGACCATGCCCCAGCCCGGGCTAGGTTAAAACAAGAATTGCAGTTAGATCCGCTATCTGTCATAGATCTCCTAAAGCCAAGAGATGCAATAGCGAAGGCCAAACTAACTCTATTTCTGAGAGATGGACAGCTGCTCGAACGTATATAAACAGAGCAGCCAAGGATAAAAATGAAATCATATCAATATCAGAAAATATAAATCATATCAATGCAAAAGCAGAAATTATGTGAACACCGAACTCACAATAGATATGTGAACCCTTCTCACACACAGGAGTCCCAAAGAGGGACAGCTCAGCCGAAATTGCCTAGGCAGAAGGCGACCTCTTAAACACCTAATGCAACAACAACAAGAACCAGTCTCGATTATCCGCCGAAACAAATTCCAATTGGTGAAATAGCGGTGAAAATTATTTGAACGAATGAAAGTTACAACACTTGGAACCTTACAATCCTCGTCATTGATCCGACCTCTCTCATTTGAATAAGCGTTATTTGGAAATTCCTGCTTTTGATTTCAAGGAGGTGAGACCACATGTCAGGTTGAAGTTAGGTTTGTGGAGAAACCACCCCACACTGTGTCATGTGATGGGGGCGGAGTGGGAAAGCGGTCAAAGGCGCCAGGCTTGCACGCCACAGGTGCTGAGATCGAATCCCGCTTGTGATCGCGTTGTTGTTCAGCATACTACAGAATACTACAAGGGACATTGTCGCGTTGTCGCATTGTCGCCCTTGCGAAAACAAGAAAAATGTGTCAAAATTAACCCAAGCGCGACATTGCGACAATTGACCTTGAAAATGACCTTGCCCCATCAAAAATGTGTAAAAAAAGGCGTTAAAATGCGCGACAACGCGACAGTGCGACAACGCGACATTTGATAATGTCAAATTGTCGCCCTTTTCGATTAATGGTGCACATGCGTAGAAAGTGAATTAATCTACGCATGCGCCGAAATGGTTATACTTCTTTTCAAACTCCACTGGTCTTTTGTTAGTTCCAATGGTTCTAAAACCAGCTAGTTCTGGTCAGGTCGTGGGCGTCTTTCAACCTCATGCCAGACACGTTCTATGGGGGAGAGGTCTGAAGAAACAGCCGACCATGGTAGTACAGCAATGTTTTGCTGCCTCAAAAAATATGTAAGATCACGTGCTACATGTGGGCGGACATTAACCTGCTGCATCGGGACATTACGTCCCTACATTTGCGAAGGTAGAACGTGATCTCGAACGATTCCGCCCCAGTAGCGTACGCCATTCAAATTGCCATTAACAATGATGAGTTGTGTTGTGATGTCACCCAATACAATTACACTTCCGCCCCTCAACTGACGGCGTTGAGTAAAGCAAACGTCGCTAAAACGTTCTGCAGGAGTGTTGACCCTTGCACGACCATCAGATCTGTCCAGATCTCATCTTTGAACAGTATTTTGTCACCCTATCCCACCTGTCGCTGGCTACACCAAGCTTGATAGGCGTGCCTGACGCTG